CTCATCATACACACACATATATATATATATATATATTTGTGAGTGCGTGGGCACCTCGGCGTGGTGTAATGGTTAGCAAGCTTGTCTCGCTAGATCAGTTGCAACTGAAAAGTGAGTTCGATCCTCACTACATGTCCCATACTTTCAGCTTTGTGCCACATCTAAGCTATGCTTGGAAAATAACTCTGTGTTTAGACAGCAAATGTTTTTTGAGGCAAATAATATTGAAAACGACAGGCATTTTTTGCCGATTAATTTTAATGATCGACTCTTCCAAGTTACGAATAATCCTGCTCATGCAGCCTAAAATTCCGTCAGAAATTGTCCGAATCTAATTTTTTTTTAACATTGTGAGTATTTGTTTAATCTTACTATGATCCTGCCGATTAATGCGCTGTCTGGTGGCGTTATGTTACGATAAGTGGTAGGTTTTTAACACTGAAAGTTTGGTTATATATATATATATATATATATATATAATTATGAATTTAGTTTTTGTCGAAAATTATATTCGCAAAAAGAACGGCCAAATTAAATGTATCATCAATACTATTTTGATAGAACGAAAATGTAATGCAAATTAATAGGTAAATTCAAGAATAACTTGTAACCTGAAGAAGCCATTTGGGCAGAAACTGCTTGCAAGAAGGTTAGTATTTTCTAATATATATATATATATATATATATATATATATATATATATATATATATATATATATATATAAATAGTAAAGGTAATAAATCCGTTTTTATATAATCCAAGTAATATAAAGTATTAAAATGATCCATAAAAAGAGCTGAATGTATTTATTATTACAGAACAGAAATTAATACACGATAAAATCCAAAATCAACTCATATGTAGAATAAGTTTATTTCAACCGACAAAAATATAGTTCATCATTTTTATTCAACCCCAGCATAGACTGGCGTTCGTGTCGGAAAAAAGAAATTTAATACTGTGAAACTGTTTCCCTTTATATATATATATATATATATATATATATATATATATATATATCTTTCACATTTAAATTTCTAATTCCGTTACGAACTCAGGCTCTACCGGGGTTGAATAAGACTGACGAATTTATTTTTGCGATGGTTGAAATAAGCTTATTCCCTTCCCTATATGAAGTATTTTGGGATTTTATTGTGTATTAATATGTAAACTATGTTGTTTTTTTACACACCGCTAACGGGGATTGGGGGTTAGAAACTAATTCATCCACAAACAGATTTTTTACAGTGAACTAAAGAATATAAAACAAACATTTATTAATAATAGCTTTTCAAACTATATAGTTGATGAACAAATAAGATGCACTCTTAGAAGTCTCAGTAGTAAGCAAATAGAACATAATACTTCTTCAACTAATCCCAAACATATTAATCTCCTATATTGTAGTCAAATGTATACTAATTATAAACAAGATGAAAATATACTAAAAAATTAGTAAATACTAATATATCAATGACAGATCCTAGAAAAAAAATAGTTAATCATAAACTATAATAAATCCAGTAATTAGGTTAATCATATAGTACACTAAATCTAGTATATCCAACTCAATTATTCACAATGATTCTTCACCACTCCCCGTTAGTGATGTGCAAAAAACCAACATAGTTTACAAATTCAAGTGCCCTTTGGGAGATTGTATCTCCAATGGATTAAATAATATTTATGTTGATCACATCTAAAACTCGCTTTCCCGATGCTTGACTCTACATTTTAATGATAACTCTAACATTTTTAGGCATTTAAAACAACATGCCTGGCCGCATGCATAATTCCGGAAAATACTCGTTGAAAACACAACTATACTTAAATATGAAAACAAACAAAAACTAAAAATTCTTGAAGCTTTATACATAAAACAGTTGAAAACTAACCTGAACAAAATAAACTATGAAATCTCCACAAATATTCTTAAACGCCTATAATTGATAAGAGAAACCATTGATTTATACCAACGGCTTCCCATATTTAATACTTCCCGTTTTCACTCTCGCGTAGTCATGTGTGACGTCACTAGCTGCGGTGCGATTTTCGCTTCCGCGTCTGGTATGCACGAATTTGTCGTTGAATGGAAATCATCCATGCAAACAAAAAACAGACTATCATTATTGGCATGTCCATGTATTGTTTAATATATTGAAATGTAATTGTCATCTTTGATAATGGCTTATGTAAGCTGAAAGGTTAGATATTATTAAAAAACCTGTTGATTTTTTTTCATCTTTCATTGATAACGTTATTAAGCTAATCAGACAATATGAAAGGAGCTTACGTAAAATAAATAGACAAAACTTGTCTATATTATTTAATGAAACATGCATCAATATATATATATATATATATATATATATATATATAATTATTTATTTAAAAATTATAACATAAATATTTTATAAAATCACTACAAACTAGCCATTTTGTTTCAACACCTCTGGTGTCTTATTAAGTATATGATGTTGAATGTAGAGAATGAGATGAAAATGGAAAGTATATATATATATATATATATATATATATATATAATCCTCTCTACCTCCATAATACAGGTAGATACTTGTTGACAACGTCAAAATACAATATACTACACCACGAAAATAATAAACAAAAATTAAGACCTCTATATCAAAACCTACCAACCAAAACCCGACAAAATTTATTACGAATATAGCAACTACATATTAAAAAGCATATAACATTTAATGCCATTTTACATATCTAACACTTCCAAGCCATCTCCCTTATACTGAAACGCTTGTTTTGTAAAAAAAATTCCATAACTACAACAGATAAATTTTAAAATGTAAAATAAATATAACCGAGCTTTTTTTTAAAACTCTCTATGACAACGGAATGAGGATTTTATCGCAGTAACAATAGCATTTTTATCTTTGTATTTTACCTCTGAAGATGATCTTAAAAAAGATCGAAATACTTGGATTAAAAGAAAACTATGGCGTTTCATCTCAATATCAGAAACTGATTAAGCAACTAGAAAGGATCAGTATAAAAAGAGACACAATGTCTGCGTTATTCCTTGTTCAATGAAACATGTTTGAATATATATATATATATATATATATATATATATATATTATAATAATTTTTAAAAACATATGATTCCTTCGCTACATAAGAGTTCTCATGTTTCAAAAACGAGAACCGAAACCCTCAATAAAATTATTAAAATTAAACTGACAATTTAATTTTAACAATTATATTGAGGGTTTCGACTCTCGTTTTTGAAACATGAGAACTCTTATGTAGCGAAGAAATCATATTTTTTAAAAAAATAATTATAATTTAGGCTCCACTTCTGTATGGAGCACTGTTTTTTTGTTTTTTTTTAAATAAAAACAAAAATACTAAGGAACTCCGGGTTATTTACCTAACGGGTTCTTTCCTATTTTCAACATACCAGCACACACACACACACACACACACACACATATATATATATATCCAAATGTGAAGAGATCGAAAGAACTTGGATTAAAAGAAAACTACGGCGTTTCATCTCAGCATGAGAAACTGAGTAAGCAACTGGAAAGTGTCAGTATAAAAATAGACACAATGTTTCAAATATATATATATATATATATATATATATATATATATATATATATATATATATATATATATCCAAATGTGAAGAGAACGAAACGAATATATATACAATCTTTCATAACATTAATTTAAAAGAGGTCTCAATACAAAAAGCAGATCAATAGTTATTTATTATAAGATTATTACATTCGAACATGCAAGTTACCAGAGCAAAAATGCTTATTTGTTTCGACGCCCAATTAAGGCATCTCAATTCATCTGCTGCAGCTTTTCAATTTACTATGTTAACGCCTAACACATCCATAGATATGCAACCTTTGATGAGATTAAAAGTACTTGGGAAATTATAAAGAAAATTTTAAAATTTTTCTTAATCAATTTTCTAAAGTCCCCAAGAAATTATTTTATGTATTTGAAAGGATTAAAAGTAAAACAAATAGACATAATACGTGTAAATTATTTAACCAAATATGCTTGAATATATATATATATATATATATATATATATATATATATATATATATATATATATATATAGATAGATAGATAGATAGATATATTAGTATGGTAAATAACAAATATTTGGCACGTATGGATTCAAATTTGTTTTTTGATATGCCATCTGGGATTAGATTTACTTTGTCTTCTGCAAATGAAATGTATCTGAAGAAGCATTTTCACAAAACTGTTTCACATGTATGTATGCATACAGGCACCTGCTATTTACATAAGTAATTTACAGTTTCAGGCTGAGTCAGACACAGGTTGTAATAACACTCTACCTCGTTCTAGGAGAGCTGATCTGCCTCTCGACCGGCACATGCAACAATTTGAAATACGCAATTCTTCGGCTCTCTTCAAGGGCGCAGAATAATCACCACCTCAACCAAGAAAATGATTTCCATGCTCGGCATCCCTTAAAATCCAGTGAAGAATTAGGAAGATTGCTGTCAACCAGTATCGGCAAAAGTTATTTCCCAGGAACGCATAGTTGCAAAGACGGTCGCTACTTTGTACCACTTCCACAGTATCGAATCGTCTTTATTTCCCCCGAAGAAGAGAGTCCCACTTAGGGAGTGTTATGGGAACTTACCCATAATAATAATGGACTATTCCTGAAATTATAAACTCTCGCATCTCAAGAGCTATGATGGGAGATTATAAGACGAGGAGAGATAATTGAGAACATATTATAAGGACATTGGAATAGTGATACTTGTCGAGACAACATAATTCACTCTAACCAAATCTGATAGTCATTACTAATACTTCTACTTCTTTGTATTATATTTCTGTTGTAATATATCTTTGCATTCCATACCTGTATTCGTGTTATTCTTTCATTGGTTCTAACCTTGGACCATCACGTGGTACAAGGAACTTGGACCATAACAGGGAGTTAAACAGCAACTTTATGGAAAAAAAGGTTCCCGCGTGGTTGCGTCGCTCAACGCTTCTATCTATCTATCTATCTATCTATCTATCTATCTATCTATCTATCTATCTATCTCAGTCTGTTCCTTTCTATCTATCTATCTATCTATCTATCTATCTATCTATCTCAGTCTGTTCCTTTCTATCTATCTATCTATCTATCTATCTATCTCAGTCTGTTCCTTTCTATCTATCAATCTATCTATCTCATTCTGTTCCTTTCTATCTATCTATCTATCTATCTATCTCAGTCGGTTTTCGACTGTCTCAAATTTCAAAACATGGCTTTTGCAGGTTATTTAAAGACAGAAAATATTTTTGATTGGAAGAATTATTTTGGAAATAATAAGATATATTTTTTTCTTTATTAATTAACCCATAACTGCAGGGAGGAGAGGGGCATTCATATCTTTCCTGGGTATTCACGCACAAGTAAATATATCGTGATCGAAATTCTGCTTTCCGATATCGAACTCCGAGAGGTTATCCATCACACCCCTCATGCATCCAAACTTAAAGAAACCTGGTTTTCCCAAGCGGTCACTCATCTAGGTACTGACCAGGGTCGACGTTGCTTAACTTCGATGATCGTATGAGAACCGGCGTTGATATGGCAGTAAACGACGTTGGAAATCCAATTTTGAGAACGTAGTAATTTCCTGATCCAAAATACTCACTATTTCAAACAACAAAATGACCGTTTCTTCAGAGTTACTTGCTCGGCATCCCTTGAAAATCTGCACTATTGATCCAGTGAAGAATTGCTGTTAACCAGTATCGGCAAAAGTTCTTTCCCAGGAACGCATAGCTGCAAGAAGGTCGGTACGTTGTAGCTTCATCCATGTTCTGATGAGTGCCATTCTTTATTTCATTCAGTCAAAACTGTTAAATTTAGAGCTCGCCATACCACTTCCACAGTATCAAATCGTCCTTATTTCCCCCGAAGAAAATAGTTCCACTTAGGCAGTCAAACTGCAACTTTATGGAAAAAAGCTTCCCGCATGATTGCCACACTCAACGCATCAATCTTAAGCACTACAGGTCAAGGGTTAAACGTTGTCTCAACCCCTTATCCTTCACTCCTTATTCACTTCTATTTTATTCACATCACACACCGCATTAATCAGTACCATTTTCACTATAACAATGTGATTTGAATGCGTAATGTTATGTTAGTAACGCCTAAGAATATGAACGTACATTTTTCATAAGAAAAAATAATTATCCATTTACTTCTCAGCAAAATCGAGCGGTATGTGGTTTCTGGTCATTCTTCGAACGTTTGATCTTATGCACAATATATAAGTTTAGCTGGTTTTACTTCCTCAATGACGCATGGCCCAGTGGATAAAAGCGTTGGTTGGATCCAGTGATTTGACCCAATAAATTTTGAGTTTAATACCTGTCTTCTGCAGTGGTGAACCAAAACAAATCTTGGAGAGTTTAGTTAAAGGGAGATAACGGAGACATCCGGCAGAGGCATGGCACGTGGAACTAGAACGATCTACCCCGGTGGACGACATAAAGAGTTCAGTCCGAAATTCCAATCACCTGAAGAAGACCGGGGCGTATAACGGCCGAAACGTCGTGAATATATTCAATAAAGATGAGAAAAACTGTCTGAACAGTGTGAATAATGTAAATAATTTCAATATCTCATCTCAAAAATATAGACAGGGTTCCCTTCATTTTAATATTCGTGGAACTCCCATTCAACTTGCCTTGAGCCTCAGTTCTGACTTTGGTAGTCAATTTCTTGGTGAAGTCTCTAGGTTCCTGGAAGTTTCATACTCTGATGTGACAAAGAGTTTAATGCTATCTATCTATCTATCTATCTATCTATCTATCTATCTATCTATCTATCTATCTATTTTATTATAGCAATAAAGAAATGACTTAATCAGCCAATGTTCGTTAAATTTAACAAATCGTCTGACCAAATAACGAACAGCATATTTTTGAATGACTTCAGTTTTCAGCACCCCCTTTTTAAATTGCTTACTTTTGTATCTCTTAGGGAGGAACACAATACGTACTGGACTCTTGTATCAAAGTTTCCTGATGCGCAATAAATTTGATTTAAATTTCGAGATTTAAATTGAGTGAAAGGAAACATCCGACTGTCTCGATACAAAAAAAAAGTTTAATTTAGAACAGCACAAGGCGTGTATTTATCTAGAAAAAGTTAGCTTTGAAAATCAGCGTTCGATATTCCATACGTTCATAAAGCTTGAACACCAAACTGTTGGTAGTTACACAGGAGTGGTGTGAGTTAATCGTCAGTTGTATATAAACATCAATCAAGATGCATAAGTATTTAGAGCGCGAAAAAGACGATGAAATTCAATGCCTATATGTATTACGTCAATTGATTGCTTTCAAAATTAATTTGGGTTTTGTAAGTTGAGAGGAGATTCAGCTAATCAGAAATATATGTGATTAGCAAAGAGGGAGATATCAAAGAACTGACGAGATTATCT